CAGTCAAAACCATGTGGCTGTGAGGTACAGAGATGTGAGTACCCCACATGTCCACATCTTACCACAACACTGAGAGAAAGTCGTGAAATAAACTGATGGTAGAGCGGCGAGGTTTCTGTTGAAGGAGGACAGTCCTCAAAGAACAAAATCACTGTGTCAGGAGTGTAAAGATTACGGAGGCTTGGTGTGTCCAGTCCTGTGAGTGGACAGTGTCCAGAGAAAGATGTTGTGGAATGTGCTTTGAACAGGGTTGGCTGTTACTTTGTGTGTATTAATGATGAAGAAACCATGAGGTATGATTCCATTGACCCAAATGAGAAGGCTTCTGAGTGTGGAATATGTTCTTTTAAGATGGAGGAAAATCAATAAAGTTTACTTGGCTAGTGCTAATTTGGAATAATGTGGCGGGGAGTGGGAAGAAGTGGGCAGAGATCGGACGGCAGAGTATTGCTGGGGCTGGGGGTGTGCTGAACAGGGCTGCTGAGGGGCTGGGTCAGTGCCTCTGGTCCGTGGTCCCCTGCATGGGGTTGTGTCGGGAAAACAGAAGAGTTTGGTTAGGGCCCTCGCTTCGGGTCCAGTTGGGTGTGGTTCAGCCCGTCCATTGTAGGCAAATTGTGTGTGTGGGTGTGTGGAGTTAGTGCTCATGTGTGCCGATGTATCTTTTTAGTTTTGTTGCTATTCTTGTATTCTTCATGGGGTGGGGAGAGTTAGTTTTAGTGAAGGAGGCGGGTAGGTGTTGGCCTTGGGTATCTGCCCCACGCAGCCAGGCTTTCCAAGGACCTTTTGGCTGGTTATCTAGCTCATAGACCTGTGTGAAGGGGTCTGGTGACCCAACCTGGCATGTGTGGGGTCTGGTGACTCAGCCTCATGTACGAAGGGTTTGTGACCCAGTCGGTGAACAGGCTTGAGGGGTCTGGGAGCACCAGACCCAGCCTTAGCTCGACAATTGGCCCAGTTGGTGCAGGATGACCAGCAGGTAAAAGAGCCCAACAACTGGCATGGTCGTGTAGCTTTACAATTGGTGTCATGAACAGGATTAAGAGCACTACAGTTGGCATTGTGAGCGGGATACTGACGTTAGCCTTAGCCATAGTGCCACATTTGGCGTAGTGCGACAGGATTGCAGACATTAGCAGACCATTACAATTGGATTAGTTTGTGACAGGATTCTGAGCAGGTACAGGAGCTAAAAGCCCTTGGAAGAAAGAGGAAATGTGGCTACTTATGAATATGCTCTGCACTATGGTCACCATCCTGTTGACCGGGATCTGGTTGCTGCTCACTGTATTGCAAGGCAGCATAGACCAGGTACTATAAGGCGAAACCCCTTGGGAAGGAGAGGAAATGTGGCTGTCCTTGAGCATGTGGTGCCCAGATGCTACTTTTCTGTTGACCAGAGCCTGGTTGCTGTTAACTATGCTACAAATGTATTAAGATTTGTGGCAGAAAGCAAAGTGGTCGGAAGCAAGGATAAATGTCCTGGAGGACGGCGAGCAGTGACTGGCCACTCTTGCCTCTCACAGCAAGGAAGACGACCAACTCAGTGGTGAGTTGGGGAAACCGTGTGTCTCCAGGCATGACCTGTTGTGCACAAGAAATTGAGACGGTAAAGCAGCAGAAACAGGGAGAGCCCCGGCTGCTACAGCCATGAGCCTATGGGTGGATGGTTTAACATGCTTTAGAGACTGTGTAGTAGATGTATGTTGCATTTGTCTGAAGGCAGAAGGCTCGGAGGGTGCCACTTAAACCCAATGGCCATCTGGGTGCTGTATAAACCCGAGAAAAGAGTGCCACATGCAGATGGGCAAATGAACTGAGGACGGGTGCCCCTGTAGAATTTCAAGTATGTTTTCACCTGTTGAAAAGGTGGAAAAGTTAGTCTCCATTACTAAGCACCTGTCTCTGAGTTGGTGGCCACAGAAGAGCCACAGATATGCACAAGGGCAAGGCAGCCACTCCTTGATGGACAGGGCGAATGCAGCTGTTTGAACCGTGGGTGAATGCTACTAAACTGCCTGAGACTGAGTGAGTAGCTGGTGTAAGCCGAGCTGATTGAAGTAATTCAAAAGCCAAATGTAAAAGCAGAGAGCAGGAGAAAAACGCAAGGGTGAAGGAGATAAACTGTTAAAGACATCGTCTTAGCAGTGAGGTAGCCAGATGCTAATAGCCGAGACAATGAAAAGGCCTTGAGGGCGTTTGAGAAGTTTGGGAGAGCACCCCTTCCATCCTAGAAGGA